TCTTTTATTTTATTTCTTATTTGTTGATGTCTTTTATTATGGTATTGTTTATATCTATGTTGTGTTTTATTATGTGAATTATTTGTATTATAATATTGATTGATTCTATTTGAATTATTGGTAAAATACTTATGATGATGAAAATGAATGAAGTGAATGAAACGATTCATACCATTATTATTATAATTATTATGATAATTGTTATGGTGATAGTTATTATTATGGTAATGATTAATGTGAAGATTAATGTATTTCTGTCCATACAGATAATACGTGTTTTCACTCATTGTTCTATCATTATATTTCATGGATGATATGGACTTCTCCATCTTTTGTTATTGATTTTATTATAATTTTTGTGGTGTTTCCTGTAATGCTTTAGCATCTAAAGAATTTCTTAATAAAAGAAATAAAAAATAACAGTAAAATTGAAAATATATATTTCCTATAACTTTTGATAAAAATATAAAATTTATTGAAATAACTAAAAGAACAATCAGAATAAATAAAAAATAAACCTGAAAGGAAAAAGATTTTTAATAATGCTTCGACTTTTCCAAATTCAAAGAATGAACCAAAATTGATTTTATTTTTAGGGAATAAGCAGTTCCTAATAACTTAAAAAGTTATATTATAAGTCCATGTACAATATGTTAGTACTATTTTTGTTTATTGTTTATTCTCTTGCTGCACAAGGAATAGATTGTGCTTATCATATGAAACCAGAAACTTTCACGTGTTTAAAAAATAAAGGCTATGGTGATTTTGTGTTTGTTAATGCTAATTTTTTTAGAGGGGACAACCAAATATCATATTCTAACAATAAATAGAATCATTAGAGGATGGAGGTCTATTGGTTCATTTGATTCAGAAGCAGTTAATTCATATAAGAGTGCTATTGCTGCTGGCATTTCAGATATTGACGTTTATTTTTACCCATGTGTTAAATGTGGAAGTGCAGCTTCTCAAGTCAATTCATTTATTACCCAGGCTAATACAAATGGAATTAAATGGAATACTTTATGGTTCGACGTTGAAAAGGATTCATGGAGTAGTAACGTTGCCACAAACCGTCAATTCTTAGAAGATTTGTTATCAGCTGCTCGTGCTGCAGGTATTAATCATGGTATTTATTCTGGATGGGGTGTTTGGGGACAAGTGTTAGGTTCTAGTTATGTCTCTAAAGAAGCTTCTAAATTACCATTGTGGTTTAGTCATTACGACCATAAAGCTAACTTCGATGATTACAATAGTGGAAAATATAAATTTGGTGGTTTCACTATCGCAATGAAACAATTTGAAGGAACTACTAATATGTGTGGTGTCCTTGTTGATCTCGATTATAAACCTGCTGGTGCCACTCCTGTAAGTCCAGCCCCTGAACCTGATACACCAGCTGATGGAAGTGCTGATGGAAATTCACCTTCAAGTGACTCAAATCCTGTCCCATCAAATCCATCAACAAACGACGAAAACCCACCATCAACCCCAAGCAACGATGGAAACACACCAAGTGGAGATTCTACTACTGATGAAAATACACCGTCAAGTGATTCAACTCCTAATACTCCATCTACAGATAGCACACCATTACCATCAGGTGGCTCAAATGATGATATACCATCAAGTGGTTCAAACACACCATCAAGTGGTTCAAACACACCATCAAGTGGTTCAAACACACCATCAAGTGGTTCAAGCATACCATCAAGTGGTTCAACAAACATACCATCAAGTGGTTCAACAAACATACCATCAAGTGGTTCAACAAACATACCATCAAGTGGTTCAACAGGTTCAAATATACCATCAAGTGGTTCAACAGGTTCAAATATACCATCAAGTGGTTCAAGCACTAGTAGTTCAACTGGTTCAAATAATACCTCCAAACCACGCAAAACAAAAGAAGAGAAAAGGTTGTCAAAAAGAATTAGAAAATTAAAACGACAGTTATATGATAAAAATGGAAAGTTAAAAGAGATAAAAAGACGACCAGGAGAGACTATGGCACATTTCTTGAAAAGAAAAGAAAGACAACAAAGAAAAGTTGAGAGGTTAGAGAAAATGGAAAAAAGAAGGGATTATCTTAAGAAGGTTAGAAAAGAAAAACGAAAAATTAAGAGAATGGAAACAAAGTTATTTGATGAGAATGGAAAATTAAAAGAAATTACTCAACGACCTGGAGAAAGTAAAAAGAGTTTCCTCAGAAGAAAGAGACAACAACAAAGATTGTTACAACGATATGAAAAAGAAAAGAAGAAAGAAAAAATGTTAAAATGGAATAACTATAAAAAATCTAAACACCCATTAGCAGAGTTAAAGGGAAAGTTATTAGACAAAAGTGGTAAGGTTAAAAAGCTTGTGAAAAAAGTGGGAGAGACTGATGCTCAATTTGCAAGAAGAGTTGCTAAACAAAAAAAGCTTCTTAAAGAATATAAAAAAGAATTAAAGAATTCAAATAAAGGTAGAAAAGACAAAAAAATATGGGATAAATTGAAACCAAAACATAAAAAGAAAAGCGGAATGTTTAGTAAGATCGAAAGGGATATTAATAAGAGTATTAAGAAAACAAAGAAAGGTATTAAGAATGATATTAAGAAGAGTAAGAAGAAAGTTAAAAAAGTTATAAAGAGAAAGGCAAACAAAGAAGTGTTAAATAAGAAAAAAACTAAGAAAATGATAAAGAAACAAAATAAAAAAATGGATAAAATAAAGAGAGGCAGTAATAAAAGATTAAATCAATTACGCAAGAAATCAAAAAAACAATTGAAGCAATTAGAGAAAAAGACAAAAGTTAAATATCAACAAGCTAAAAGGAAAAATGCTCAAAAAGCAAAACAAATTAAACGAAATGCTACAAGAAAAGCTCTCGCCATTAAACGTAATACTCAAAAGAAAGCAGCTGCTATAAGACGTATGGAAAAAAGAAAAGCAGCTATTAAGAAACAACAGACCAAAAAGAGAATAATTCAACGAAGAAATACTAAAACAAGAAAACCAGTAAGAAAAGTTACTATTACAAGAAGAAGATAAAAGAACTTCTATTCATTTTTTTTTTGACTTTTTTTATTTGGTTTAAGTGAAGAAGAATAAAGAAATTGATTATTAATCTTTTGAGAAATAAAACATAAGGATATGACATAGTAACATAATGACTATTAGAATTCTTATATACAATAAAGAATTTGGGTCTATAGTCAATTCATATGGATTAGATGATACTGTTAAAAAATATGACAATGAACATTTACTAGATCTTAAATACATTGACATATTAATAAGACGTTGGACATCATTTACAGTAAATCTACTTGGAGCACCAGTAAAATAAATATGGATGGCACTGTATTCTATTTCAGGAAGTGCAAAAATTGCTTCTCTACTTGAAATAATCATAGAACTAATGAAATTAATAAGGTCCTGATCAGAAGTACAAATAAAAAAATCTAATAAACGAAGTCCAACTTCTATATCTTCAACTGAATGTAAAAACCATGTTATGTACCAAGGAAATGCAAACATTGCATCACACCCTGCTTCTTCTAATGTATTACTCAAATCTGGATCAATAGAACTAACAATTTCTAATGCTTTTTTTCCACCACTTAATGCTTCGTTAAAATCAAATAATGATTGTCTAAATCTTAATGTTGCAAGTCTTTCACTAACACCTAATATTAGTTCATCGTCTTCACTAGTAAAGAGTAAATAACTAACTATATCATGAAATCCTTGATAGTATTTAAACTCTGGATGTAGTACAAATATTCCATCTAATATTTTTAATAACCTTTCTTTTTGTCTTAAACTATCTTCTTCATTTAGTAATCTACCATATGTACGTTTAACGTCTAAGGTTATTTGGTAATGTGACTTACTTTCTTTAGCTGGGTCTTGAATTTTTTCCGCATGAAGGATATGTTGATAGATTTTAATTCTGTTAGGATTCTTCAACCCTCCAAATCCTCTGACACATTCATTTATTATGCCATATTCGTTCCATTCATTTTGCATTAAATTATTAATTATTTCGTCCTGCATTTTCGGGATTGTAATTGAATAGTTCATTAAGATTTTTTAGTTTTATTTTTTTTATTTTTTAAATTATAAAACTTATTTTTTCATAATTCTTTTATTTTTGAAGAACAAAAAGGTAGCTTATCTTTTTTTAGATACAAAACAATCACAGATGTCTAGTACATCAATTATTATTTGTGTTATTATAGTTGCTATTATTATTTTAATAGAGAGTTGGTGCCATAGAGCAGTTAAAAAGCAATTAAAAATACGAGATCCAGTATTATTTTTATTTGCGCATGCAGATGACGATGCTATGTTTTTTACACCAACAATAGAGTATTTAAAACAAAATTTCATACCCTTTGGGATGTTTTTATTTTCTTCAAATCCTATCAGAAAGAAAGAATTTGAAAATGTTGCTAAGTTTCATAAATGTGAAAATATTACAATTTGTGATCCAACAAAATACCCTGATGGTTTTGAATATCAGTGGGACATAATGGAAATGGCTAAAGATGTTAGTGAAATAATTCAAAAAGAAAATATACAAACAATTATTACTTTTGATAAAAAAGGAATTAGTGGACATCCAAATCATATAAATATCAATGCAACATTACCAATGATTCATACTTTTTGTCCACATGTTTCTATTTATACATTAAAATCGAAGAATATAATAAGAAAATATTCACATACTATTGATTGTATTTGTACCTTCTTTGAAAAAGATGATGAACACAGTCTCTTTACTGTTCTTGATTCAAATGAATATGCAACATCTTCTATGAAACTATATCCATCACAATTTATATGGTTTAGACATATTTATTTAGCATTTTCAACGTATACTAAATTAAATCAATTAGTTGAATATTACTAATTTAACAAAAAAGGTAATTCTTTTTCTTTTTTATTTTCGTTTTGAGTAAACAAAATTCTTACTATTTATTTATTATAACTTTACTATTTATTTTATTTTTTTTGTTATTAAAAGAACTTATAAAATTCAATTACTTCATGAAAATACTTGTTCTTATTTTATGTACTACTGCATTAGGCACAATCCAAGTTAATCTTAAAAGCAATTGGAAAGACACACCATTATTGTATGAAACATTATCATATTTAAACGAATATAATAATGAATTACTTCTTCCATTTTTTGAAGGAGTTGTGGAGAAAAATGTATTTAATTTAAGAGGAGAGAAAGCTTATGATACATTTATTGAATTACTTCCAGAGAATAATAGAAAACTAATTGAATTAGCATTGTCACTAAGAAGTCAATCACCATTCGTTGTAGCATCTAATTCAGTAAATATCAGTTGTAATGGAATTATTAGAGGAAATAAATGTAGTTTAAGTGGAAAAGAAGAAGAAGGAAGATTTGAATATGAACGGTATTTATTATATTTAACAAAACAAACTAATGCTACAGGAATTCTTATTATTCCACAAGAAAATATAAAAGAAAAATTTAATTTATTAAAACAATTAATGAAAGAAAAAGTTATAAGTTCAATGGCACTTTTTCTTAAACCATCATTATCTGAAGGAATAAAAGATGGAATTATAACACCATTAGATACAATGAATCTTACAGGCTATGATATTGAAATAATGCACAGAAATTTTAAAAGAGAATTTGGTATAATAAAAGAAAAAGAAGATTATATTTATTTAAAAGATTGGAATAACGAAGACCTTAGAATTGGAATGATGGATTATTTATTAAATGATAATGAAAAATTAATTAGTAAGAAATTAATTAATATAACACAAGAATTTCCATTATCTATAATTAGTTTATTAAAAAGAAAAAATGAAAGATTAAAAATAATGTCAGAAAATATAAGAGAAGTAACTAAACAAATAATGTTAATAAATGGAATATCTTTTAATTTACAACAACAATCAATTTATGATTTTATTGATATTTTACAAAAAGAAGATAATAAAATAAATGAATTAAAAAATTATGAATTACCAACCAATTTATTTATTTCAAGTTTACATTCAAGAGAAAATAAAGAAACTATTAGATTTCTTATTCCATCAGAACATATTATAAAAATAAATTCATTTGATTCCTATTTATACGAAAGATTCCCAAAACAATTAGAATCATTCTTCCAATATAATCCTTATCAACTATTTAGATTTACTTCTCAGGACCTTTATACTTTTATTGCTACTCTTGATTTTAATAACTTAGATCAAACATTATATTCTTTAAAAGTTATTCAAACTTTTATGTTCAGATATTTAGCTCCTTTACAATTTGGAATTATTCCAATTAATATCCCAACAAATGAAATTGGTCAAATTTTGTTAAGTAGCATTATTGATATTAATAATAAATGGGGAAATGATGGGTTAATGAAATTTATTGAAAAAGTTGATGAATTACAAATTAATAGTGTTAGTCAAATAACTAATTTCTTTGAAAAGTTTTATAGATCAAGAGTAAATACATTTGAATATAATATTAATAATTATTTAAATAATACTAAAATAATAAGTACTATTAATTATATGAACAATCATGGCTTTAAATCTAACGCTTTTTATCTTAATGGAATCTTCATTGACCATGAAAAAATATTTAGTGAATTCTCTAAAATTTACTCAGGTGATATTCCTATTTTACAAGAGTTAATTAGAACAAAACAACTTCATGATGGAAATATTTATAGTCAATTACAAAATAAATTACAATGGATTAAATATATTGACACTGATCTTATGATTATTAATCAAAGTTCAATCGCTAACTGGAAAGAACCTTTTAATATCTCTAAAACAGAAGATATTAATCATGTTATCACTCTTTGTGGAGATGGTGATGAACTTAAAATGAATCAAATCATTGAAAAATTATATGAACTTCATTCTAAAGAAAAATGGAAAATTATTGGTGGAATGAAAAATATAACTGAAAACCAAATTATTGAAAATAAATTTAAAACAAAAGAATTTAAAGAAATTATAAAAATATTAAAAGAAGGAAATAAAAAAGAAATATGTGACAATGCAAATATTATTTTTGATAGTGTTAAAATTAAAGGAAATGAATATTTAGAAGAACAAATAAAAATCGTACTTTATGGTATTAAACATTTAAGTGAAAAATTAAAAAAAGATATTGGAATTAATAAACTTGGTATTGCAATGCATTTAATTTTACTTGACTCATTAACAACTAAAAGAGTAGATGACATTAATAAATCACCATTAACAGTTAGACAAATAGCAAATGATATTAATTCAGTTAAGTATAACATTAAATTAATTATTGATCCTATTATGAGAGAAGCACAAAAAGTTGGTAAAATGCTTCAAATACTTGAAGAGTTATATCCAAATCAAATTAATATTGAAATGATTCTTATTAAAACTTTAGGAAAAGGTGGTGATTTTCCTTGTGAATATTATTATTCAAATATTCCATTTAAACCAACATTTAATAATAATCAAAGAAAAGATCAGGATTTAATTATTCAAAGTTTACCAAAAAATATTGTGTTTCAATTAAAAATTATTACAGCACAAAATATTGATACTTTATTAACTAATACAACTGTTGATATTGATAATTTTAAAAATAATGATACCATTATGATTGAATATTCTTTAACTAATTTAGTTATTGAAACTACTTCACAATCTAAAGTTTATATTGGAAATGAATATCGTTATAATACTATTAATGTTACTGGTGATAATGGTTTTATTAATCAAGGTGTATTAAGTAAAGGAGGTTATTTCCAAACATTAGTTCCTCCTGGTATTTATTCTACTTATTCAAATCCAAGTATGTACTATAAATTTATTACCCTTAACCAACCACTAGAGGTATTAAACTTTAGATTTACTATTCATGAATTATCATTCCAACCAATTCCACTCTCGCTTGAAGAAAAGAATAAAATGAATGAACTAAATAAAAATAAACCATCCAACAGTAACTCGTTCATTAATAATTTATTTGGAAGAAATAAAAAAGAAGAATCTCCAATTGAAATATTTACTATTGCAGGTGGTAAAGATTATGAAAGAACAGTAAAAATTTTAATCTATTCAGTTAAAAAGAATACTAAATCTCCTCTAAAATTTTGGTTGATTGAAGACTTCTTATCTCCAGAAGGAAGAATTACATTAAAAGAATATGGTAAAGCATTAGGTGTTACTATTGAATATTGTAGATTCCACTGGCCATATTTCATGTTTAAACAAGTATCTAAAACCCGTATTATTTGGGCAAATAAAATACTGTTTTTAGATATGATGTTCCCTCAAAGTGTTGATAAAATCATTTTTATGGACTCTGATCAGGTTACACGTGCTGATGCTAAAGAATTATGGAACTTTGATATTCAAAATAACGCAATTGCTATGACTCCATTCTGTGATGGAGAATGGTTAAACAAAGAAACTGTAAGTTATAGATTTTGGTATCATGACTCATGGCGATATGCCCTCCAAAGTCGTCCTTATCATATTTCTGCATTGTTCATTGCTGATTTAAAGGTATTTAGAACGAATAATGTTGGAGAACAGTATAGAACAGTATATAACGACTTGACTCTTGACCCTAATAACCTTGCTAATCTTGACCAAGATTTACCAAACTATGTTCAAAAATATGTTCCTATCTTTTCACTTCCTCAGGAATGGCTTTGGTGTGAGTCATGGTGCAACCAAAAGGTTAAATCAAAAGCTAAAACAATAGACTTATGTAATAATCCTATCAAACCATTAGGTAAAATAGAGAGTGCTCTAAAAAATATTGAGGAATGGAAAAGTTACGATGAAATCGTTCATGGAATGGAAGAAAAAGTTAATAATAAAAAAGAGCTTTAATCAACTCTATTTTTATTTTTTTATATTTTTTTTTTAAAATAATCATAAATTTTTTCTTCATAATGCTTTAATTATGCCCTTTTCTTTACTTCTTTTGTGGAACTCCTTGTGGATAACCAGGATAAGCGCCTGGTTGTTGAGGTGGATAACCAGGATAGGCACCTGGTTGTTGGGGTGGATATCCTCCTTGTTGTGGTGGGTAGCCAGGATAAGCACCTGGTTGTTGAGGTGGATATCCTGGTTGTGGGTATCCTCCTTGTGGTGGGTAAGCACCTGGTTGTCCATAGCCTTGTTGAGGTGGATATCCTGGTTGTGGATATCCTCCTTGTTGTGGTGGGTAGCCAGGATAAGCACCTGGTTGTTGAGGTGGATATCCTGGTTGTGGGTATCCTCCTTGTGGTGGATAACCTTGTTGTGGTGGGTAAGCACCTGGTTGTCCATAGCCTTGTTGTGGTGGATAGGCACTAGCATTTTGTTTAGCAGATGAAGGACTTGGGAGGATAGTGTATTGAACACAAATTGAACCTTTAGTTGAGAGTGGGAGTTCATTGGTAGCCATTTGTCCTGGTTGGAGTTTTTGAATAACCAACGAAGCATTTCCCATTGGATCATCTTTTCCATGTTTATCATAGTCCATAACTGTAAAAGTAGCCATAGTACCAGGAGAGACATTATAAAATTCAAAAGAGTCTCCCCAAGTTGGATTTAAGTTCTTCATAATTGTCTTTGTTTTTCTTTGTTCAACACCAACAGAGACAATAACATAAGGATCAGAAGTAAATAAGTCTTTAGCCTTTAATTGTTTTCCATTAACAACAGTTAATCTAATGTTCATTGTTTCAGATCCCATAGGTTTATTACCAGAAGCTGGTTTAGCAGTTTGTTGTGCATTTGGAGCAAAAGGAGAGTAATATCCTCCAGACATTTTAGATGTTATCTGAAATTTCTAGTTCTTTAACTACTAAAACTTGTTTTTTATTGTTGATTTTTTTGTACTCACTACTATTAATAGTATTTTAAGTTCTACTAACTATATTATTTAGTCACTTAAATTACCTTGATATTTAAAAAAGAAATTTCAGAGTTATAAATTTAAAACTTTTCTTATTTATTTTTTCTTTTTATTTTATTGAGATTCACTTGTCTTTACAAAATGAAAAATTAAAAAAATTTCAATTGAAAAAGAAGAAGAATAAATAATAAAGAAAAGAGTTAATAAAATGGTCCTTACAGTTATTATCTTTTAAATTAACAGAGCCTTAATATAGCCAGGAGTCTCTGGATCTTGGATATGTTTAGAAGTAAATCTTAACGTATCTAATAAGGATTTTGTAGTCTCACAAATGAGAGGATCTTCTTGGTTATAATTTTTCAATTGCATGATACATTCTTTAATTCTGATTGGTGTTTTCTTATGGAAAGAACCTAAAGGAGAAATGATATCATTGAGAATAATTGATCCGGTCATTACACGAAGACAAAACAAATTAGTTTCTACTTTAGAGAAAGTGCCAAAATATACCATATCATTACAAGTATTAGCCAACGTACAAAGTAAACCAGAAATATTGTCTTTTATTTCTTCGTTAACACCTTTTGTAAATTCATTGACTGCTTCAGTAAGTACTTTCATCATTGGAGAAGAATATGCAAAGAACATAGACATTTTGTTAGCAGTTTCATCTCTAATTTTAATATCACTATCCTTTTTAACTCCTTTCATTCTATTTAATGTTCTACGATAATATGAAAAATCGTTTTGAATGGAAGAATTTCCTAATTTCTTATTATCGAATTGTAATACAAAATCAAGTACTAATCCAAGTTGTTTAGATAATGCTTGATAATTGACTAAACTTAATTTAGCTTCTGCTTGTGATAATACACGAATAATTTCAATGAATCTATCCTCTATAATTAATAAGTATTTTATTATTAACTATTCAACTTATTAACACAAACTTAGTTGATTAGAAAATTCATAAAATTCATATAATATATCTACTCTTGGAATTAAAGCTTTCCAACATTCTTCTTCATTTTCAGGTGAAACTTGTGAGATAGCTTTTCTTATAAGATCCTCACAGCCTTTATACTCACTAATTTCTTGAAGAATTTTAGATGATTTTTGAAGACATTGTTCTACTGAAGAATATAATTCTTGTTCTTCTGGTGAAGGGACAACATTCTCAAAATCAATAATAATCTTTTCCCCTTTTTCTCCTCCTTGGAATAACGAAAGAATTGCTCCCATTTTTGTAAATTTCAAGTTAATCAGTTCTCGTTTTTCTCCTTTTCTCTTTATAATGGGTTTCATTGAGTTAACCTCATTTATCGGGTTTTATCGAAGTAGTTAAGTAAAACAAATTTAATTACTCAAAAAAAAATAAAAGTTAGATTTTTATCCTTATAAAATAACACAAAACTACTTTTTATATGATAATATAAAATATGTTTTATATATTTTATTTGAGAAAATAAAGAAGATACAATTAATACAAAGAATAAAACAAATCAACATGAAGTACAACATCAAATAATCACCACAATTAGATGTTAGATGGATAAAGGAAAACTTTAAGGTTTTGTCCCATTGCTTTTGGTGGAAGATTATGTAAGAATCTAGCTTTAACAACTCCATGATTTCCATGTGGTGCAACGATTTTACCAAAAATAGCACGAATAGCTGGTTTATTACTTCCTTTCTTTACATTAACTTTGTAAACATAAGCAACACGTTTTCCAATATAGAATGGAGTATCTTCTTTTGTATTTACTCCACTAATTTGAAGAAGAGCAACATTTGGATATTGATTTCTTTGGGCACGTTGGAATCCCATGAAAACAGCATTAACGTGGAGTCTACACTTTGACATAGATGCTCTATTCTATAGTTTCTTTAAACCCTAAAAATTATTTTATTAATTCCTTTTTTGTTTTTCTTTCTTTTTCTTCATACAAATATCATTCGATTCTTTTTGCCTATAAAATCAGGATATTATGGTATTATCCTTTCAAAAGAAAATAAGATGAACAATTGATATAATAAAAAGATAATATGAGAACAATATAATTATAGTTTATAAAAGAAAGAGTAAAACCCTGAACTGAACTTTATTGCCAAAGGCATGACTAAGGGAACTAGCTGCAGAGGTACTAGACACAATAAAACTCACATTCTTTGCAAAAGATGCGGAAAAAGATCATGGCATTTACAAAAACAAAGATGTGCTTCATGTGGGTATCCAGATGCTAAAATGAGACAATATGCTTGGGGATATAAAGCCCTTAGAAGAAGAACTCAAGGAACTGGAAGAATGAGACATTTAAAAATTGCCTTAAAGAGAACCACTAAAGCTTAAGTAAATGAATTTGTTCTCTTGTTTTTCTTTCTTTTAAGTTATGTTATCTTACGGACAATGAAATGTGAAAATATTCATTAATAGTATTATTTAAGATATTGTCTATTCATTATGAAAGAAAAAAATAAAAATAAAAAAACTTAATATTTGAAGATTAAAGATCAGTAATGGACATCAGAAAATCATTAAAACACTTAGAACCATATAAAGGAACTTTATCATTTTTTATTATTTTTACTATTCTTTTACATTATTTATATTTCCTTGATTGGTATACTCATTATGAAACTCAATTACATAATACAACATACTTATTTTTAATGATTTTTGATGTCATGCTTACTATTTTAATTGCTGATTTTATCAATCCTGGTATTGTTGTTTTTATGACTGTTACTATTTTAATGGCTTTTGGTGTTATTAATTTAGATGAAGCATTTATTGGATTTTCTGATTCTTCTACATTAACAGTTATGGTTGCACTAATACTTTCTGCTGGAATTAATAAGGTTCAAATATTAGATAGAATTATTTATTATTTATTACCTACAACAAGACAAGAATATGTTTTTCCTAGTGCTTTAAGATTTCTTCCATTTGTAATGATATTATCATTATTTTTAAATAATACACCTGTTGTTGCAATGTCAATTCCATTAATTCAAAATTGGGCAAAGACTTCAGGGCATTCAGCAAATAGGTTGTTAATGTCAGTTTCATTTTGTGCAATTTTAGGGGGAATGAATTCTATTCTTGGAACATCAACCAATATGGTTGGAAGAGGTTTAGTGTACCAACAAATAGAAAAAACAAATTCTTTATTTAACTTAAATTTACATTTTGAAATGCCATTATTTGAAATTGGAATTGTTGCATTTCCATTGGCTATTGCTGGATATTTTTATTGTTCTTTTTGTACTTCATTATTAAAGAAAAGGAAATGTGATTCAGATTTAAGTGATAAAAGTGAAGATGAGTTATTTAGAATTGATGTAGTTATTACTAAAAGTTGTCCTTATATTGGTACAGATTTACAAAAATCTCCATTACATTCTCCTCCAAATGGTAGAGTTATTGGTGTTAAAAAGAAAGATATGTATCAAGAGTTATGGAGTTTTAGTGATAAAAAATCAGTTAGTACTATTCCTGAATCAAAAAATGAAGAACAATTAAATACTGAAAACACAGATACATCAACAAGTGAAATTAATTTTGCAGAGAATTATTTGGATGGTGTAGAATTAACTACAGACGTTATTATTGAAGAAAATGATGTGTTAACGTATGAAATCCCTTTAAAAGGAATTAGTGATATATTAAAACAACGAGGAATTATTATTGAAAATTTACAAACAAGAAATATTATTGAAAATTATGATTTTAGTGTTTATGAAGTTTGTATTAAAAAAGGAGAGACTGAATTAAAAAGAAAAGACTGGTATGGAGTTCTTGCTTTTAGTGGTATTGAACCAATAAATGAAATTAATGAAAAAAGAAAGTTTATTGTTGTAGTTAAAAAAGAAATATTACAATCAAAAGAATTTCCACAACCATTTTTAATTGCTAAACCAATTAACATTTTTATTCCTCGTCCTTTAGATATTCAAAAAGTAATTATTGCAATAATTGCACTTGCATTTCCAATTTTTATGGATGTATTTGAATTAGGTAATTTAATTGAGTACGCTTTAATGAGTGTGTTATTATTGCTTGGTACAAAAGTATTAACAATTGAAGAAGTATTTAAAGCAATTGACATTCCTTTATATTGTATTCTTGGTGCATCATTTGGACTATCTACTGCAATGGTAAAAACAAATGCTGGTTCATTACTTGCACTAACCTTAACTCGTTTATTTAATCCCTTTGGTAAATTAGGAATGTTAGCAGCGTTATATATTCCTACTTTATTATTAACACAACCACTTAGTAATACGGCTGTAGTTGCTGTTATGTTTCCTGTAGTATGGTCTGCTTATTGGGGAAAAGATCCATATGGAGCAGAACGAGGAAAAATAATTGGATTAAAGAGTTCAATGTACACTATGATGCTCGCTGCAAGTGAAGTATTTGTTCTTCCAATTGGATATCAAACAAATATGATGGTAATGATAGAAGGAGGATATACTGTGAGTGATTTTGTTACTTTTGGAACACCATTGATGTTGATATCATTAATAATATCAATAGGAATGCCATGGTTAGTATTTGAAGTTTTATATCCAACATCCTTGTAATTAATGATAATTAAATACTTCTATTCAACTAAAATATATCTAAAAGAAAGAATAAACAAAACTTTATTCAATTTTAAATTTTTTAATACTTTTGTTTAGTTTAGAGTCAAATAAAAGAATAGCAAATGAATTATTTGAAATATTAAATGGATTTGAACAAGAAAATAAAGATAATAAATGGTTATTAAATAAATACTTATACCCTTTTTCAAATATTTGATGCCCTCTTATAATAATGTCGTAATTATATTTATTTAGAAATTCTTCTACTTTATCTTTACCATATAAATATCCTCTTCCCCTTGGATTTGTATCCCATCCATTACACTCAGTAATAAATGGGTCTGACCATAACAAGTCATTAATAAGACTATTTGGTTGTATTTTCATTGGTCGTTGTAAATTAATAATTATATCAAGAGAATTTAATTGAGGAGAAAGTCCACCGTGAATACAAAAAGCTTTATTTTCAATAATTGCTGCTATTGGAAGATAGTCAAATGTTTTAGTAAATGTATTAAAAATAAATTTTTGTTTTGTTGTAAATTTTTTACATTCTTCAAAGAATCCATAACAAATACAAATTTGTTCATCTTCATGATTTCCACGAAGTAAATAAATTGAATTTGGGTAATTAATTTTAAGAACAAATAATAATATAAGAACTTCAACACTATTCTTTCCTCGGTCAATATAATCTCCAAGAAATAAATATTTAACTGTCGGTGGATAACCACAACTGTCAAATATTTTTATTAAGTCATTAAAATTTCCATGAATATCTCCTACAATAATAATTGGACTTGTTAATTGAAGAATATTTGATTCTTTTAAAAAAATACTTGTGACTTCTTGACAAATTTCTCTATAACTTAATATTTAATTAACAGTAAAAAACTATTTCAAACATTATTTCTTCTAAAGAATAACTTATCTTAATCTTCTTTTTCTTTGTATTGGGTTTTAATAATAATTCTAAAAGAAATTGGTGTTTCTTAGATTGTAGGATATTCATTGATAAAAGAAAAACAATCAAATACACTTTTTTTATTAAGTTGGTTCTTAATTTTATTTGAAATAATATTTTATTATGAAAAAAATAACTTCTTATTAAAAAGTATTTCTTTCTATAATTGTTTGGTTAGTTTAGATTGGGGTTAGTAAAATTAACACAAAAATGAATGAAAGAAATAAAAGGCACACATTCAAAAAAGTGTGTTTTAACATTATGAAAGAGTAAAAAGCTAAATTATTAATAATTTTGAAAAGAAAAATTAAGTTGAAAACAAAAAGGGAGACTTAAAAGAACGATACAAGGAAAAGAAAAATCCTAATTTAAAAATTAATTTTTTTCATATAAAGAACTTGGAACTGATATTTCACGCTGAAAAGATGATTGGTAATAATGGATATAGAGTTGTTATGTTAGGTAAAGGTGCAGTAGGTAAAACGTCCATTTCTACACAAATGGTTTCAGGTATTTTTAAATCATTATATGAACCAACAATTGAAGATACTTTTAAAACATCGTTAGATATAGATGGAACAGTTTGTGTATTAGAAATACTGGATACTGGTTTGTTTAACACTTTTAATCAAACATTTCTTTAATATAAAGTTCTTTTCTTAGCAAAGATATAATATGATATTCATTTTAATAGCTGGACAAGAAGAGTATAATAGTTTAAGAGATCAATACGTTAAATTAGGAGATGGATTTATAATTGTATATTCTATTATTGAACAACAGTCATTCTTTGATGTAAGTACTTACAAAGATTCATTACGTGTTTTACTTAGTAAAACTCAAGAAGAAAGAATCAATGCCTGTTTATGTGGAAATAAACTTGACCTTGAAGAATATCGTGTTGTTACTACAGAAAATGCGGCAGCATTAGCAAAAGAATGGCATATGTTATTTTATGAAGTTAGTGCTAAAACAAATCAAAATATTACGGAAATGTTTAAAAGTGTTGTTAGAATGATTAAAGAAGATCGTGAACTTCATCATCCACAATACAAATTAAATGAAACAGAAGAAAAGAAGAAAAGGTGTTTACTTCTATAACATTATTAATCATTATGTAATTGTTTATTTTTTTTTTAACATTTTATTATTTTTTGTGATATATTTTTTTTTTGTTTTTTTTTAATAAGATTTATTTAGAATATTGAGAGAAACTAAATATGAGTTTAATTTCTTTTAATAAAAATACTATTTTATAAAATAATCTAAAAATAAAAAAGGAAAAAATAAAAAAAAAGAAAAAAAATAAAATAAATAGTAACAAATGATTAACATCATCGTTATCATTTTATTATGTGCAATACCAATTTTACTTCTTATATGTAATATTTATATGATGGTATATTTCCAAAATCCTGAAGAGAAAGGAGTGAGTTGGATATGGAGAATTATTGTAATTATTGCATTTGAGTTTTTAGAAATGAGTGTATTCTTAATTCCATTAGATGTACTTAATGCTGGACCACCTGAACCGATAATACCAATGCAAATTTTCTGGTATATAGTTTATTATGGAATGATTGCATTTGCAGCAATTATATTACCATTTGGGTTGTGTTGGTATAACCAAGAAGAAGATACATCATATATTAAAAAAATAGTATATTCCTTTATTTTTGCATTGATCTTCCTTGTTGTAGCAGCTGTATTTTGTGTAATATTTTACATTATTTTTGGTGTAGCAGAAGTACCTGTTAATTATCAATCTGGTGATCTTGATTTAACAACATTTAATCTTGACAAGATAAAAGCAGAAAATGTTAAGCCAGAAAATGATGATGAAGAATCTACAATTAGTTTTAGAATATCACCAGTTCTTTTTATTATATCAGGAATTAGTACAATAGGATATATATTAGTATTATTCTTTGGAGGTCTTGGATTTGCAGTATTACCAATTGATTTAATTTTTGATTTCATTAATAGACCTGAACCACTTAAATCTGCACAAATCAAAGAATATAATAAACTTATTGGAGAACGTGCATTAGCAATGATTGATGAAGGAAAAGAAATTAAACAATTAACAGGAAGAAAGTATCGAAAAAGATATTCACAATTTAGAGAAGAAGTATATATTCTTGATCGAGGACTTAAAGTATTAAATAAAAGAAGAAATTTAAAAGGATTTTTATGGGGATATGTTGCTATTATATTAGGAGTTATTGCAACACTTCTTACACTTCTTTGGATGGTTCAATTAGTCCTTTGGACAATTTTAAAAATTTTCCCATTTGTAGATTGGATTATGCAATGGATGACAGGTCCAATAGCATTCTTTGGAGCAATTATTTATGGAATTTTTGCAGGATATTTGTTGTTGTGTTCATTTAAAGCTGTTGTATATGTAGGATTTAGATTTGCATTAGGATTTGTATTTTATCCATTTGAAGTATCTAATACATATATGAATGCTTTTTGTTTCAATGGAATTCTATTAGTTCTTATTGCATTTGGAGTAAACCAATTTAGTTCAGAAACATTTTCTAATTTCCTTACAGGAAGTTCATTCCATTCATTTATGGGAGAAGCAATTACACAATTAAGATACGTGAAATACATCTACAAGTATGCACCATTTGTTATGCCAATATTATGTGTGTTAATGTTAGTATTTATGTTATTATCTAAATTACTTTGCAAAAACAAGAGAGAGAAAGATGCATTAGATATTTTATTGGAATATGAAAATATTAAACCAACGAATTAATTTATTCATTTGGTTTAATTTTTTTTCACTCGAAAATAGGAATCAATACCAAACCAACAATTAAGAATGAAAGTAAATCAATTTAGTTAGAATTAAATAACAATGGCCAAGTATCAGGAGTTTTTGTACTTTGCTCAGCCCAATATTCTTGTTTTTCTTGGTCTGTGGGAAGTCGTTTTGATAATGCCCTTTTTGAAATCTTCATAATAGTAATTGTGGTAACAGTATATACAATTACTCCAGCAAATAAGCACCAACATCCATTATCCAATGTAGCTTTAACTTCAAAACAGGTTTCATGATCTGTAATGTATTTTTCATTTCCAAAGAATAATGCGATAATATCATCTAAACTTTTATTTATTGAAGGTAAAATAGCACTGCAATAAGGTTCTACCATAAATGAAGCAAACTGTGAAAGTTCAACAACTGCAGCAATAACTGAAATTATAAAAACATCAATACATGACCAAGCATATAAAATTTCACAAAATTGAAAGATAATATTTTGTATTTTTCTTGTGATAGGGACAGTCCATAATATTAACAACATAATATGATGAAGGAATGGAATAGCAACAATTGTTATAAAGTATGTTACTTGTGTAAATCTAACTGCAAAACTATTTGGCTCTCTGCATGCTGATGGCAGATCAATACCAAGATCCATTACAGAAAAGTCTCTGTGTTGTGAATATCCTAATAAATCAAGTGCCCACCCTGCTAATCCTAAGAAATCAAATGAAAACGACTGAAGGAACATACCAGCAATGACTAATCCACTAGAAATACCTAACAATAAAATCATCATTAATTTTACTACGAAAAATCTTGTAAAACATAATAATGGTTTTTTTATTGTTGCTTTTTCTCCAATGTTATCTGTTGGATTACTTAATATATTATTGTGAATTCCAACCATAACGTGTGACAATAATAAAGATATTAATGTACCAAGTAATAATGTAACAAAACCATATTCAGGATCAACGTATAATTTAATAGTCATTGGATCACTAACAGAATTTGGATGTCGAATTGGTAATGGAACATCAAAATAGAATGCCATAATCATTAAGATCATAACATAAGAATCCAAAAATGACCATTTTCCAAGGGCATCTAATATATTAAGTATTACACCTCTAGCACTTGGTTTAATTATACTAGAAGGAATCATCCATGCAATTAATAACATAACTAATTTAGTATACGGCCAAATACCTGAAAAAACCATAATTAATATAGATAAAGGATAAACACCAGCAGTCCACATATCTTTTACAGAATTCATTAAACCGAAATCTTGTACAGGCATAGTTATTGTGTTACTACTTCCAAATATTATATAAGCATTAACTGTTGCTCCAGTACCTGTATTGGATGTTACAAATAATGCAATATTAAGGAATATAATTAATGGAATAACTACTCTTATTACAATTGTAATTCTACTATCTAAGAACATACTTGCTCCATTAGGATCTGTTCTAAAAAATTGTTTAAAGAACCAACTAGGGAATTGAATAATTCTTTTACATAAAGATTTCTTTTTCTTTTTATAAATCCTTTTTTTATATCTTTTTATTTTTTTGATTCCTTCATCATCAGAATGAATATCACTAATACTATCATCA